TTTTTTTTTTTTTTTGCAGGCAGAGGTGAAATTCTTGGGTAAATTTAGCCACCCAAATCTTGTTAAATTGTTGGGTTACTGTTGGGAGGAAAGACAATTTCTCCTTGTCTATGAATACATGCAAAAGGGAAGCTTAGAAAGTCATCTCTTTAGAAGTAAGCCTCCTAATCCCATCATTTTCTTTTCCTCCTAAATTATGCTTATTTATTAAATCACAAATTATTGTGTGACGAGGTTTAATCGTTAGTTGGATCGATTTGTCATATTTTCTTTTTTTAACAAAAATGCATACTTATATTATGAAATATTTTGATTTCTGTAGTTATTTAGAGTATGAGATTTACGATCGGAAGTATGCAAATCTGTTAGAAAAAAGTATGTGGCCATTTAACCGTTGGATCTTCTTAAAAGCAGCCTAAACATTACTCTCTCGTATTCATAATAAGTGGCGTTTTGAGAAGTTGCACGTTAATTAAAAATATTTTTTTTACCAATAATAATAGAGATAAATGTTTTGAAAAAAAATGAAGAATGAATATGAAAAGCCGTAATGGATTTATAGAAATTGTATGGAGGCATCAGATGGCTCCCTTATGGAGCCATCCATAACTTTATTTACTGACACGTACGTGTCTAGTGTATATTTATTGCAGGACACGTTTCAGTACACCATTTGTGAATAACTCTGGATGGCTCCATAAGCCGAGTCATCCGATGTATTCATATCAAAATCGATTGTATTTATTAGCTAAATGAGTGTAATAATAGAAAAATATGTACAAGTGATTCAAAACGTCATTTATTTGGTTAATGGTTGATAAAGTCAAAATGACATTTAAACAAAATAAGAGGTGTATTATTAAATAATTTTGTGATTTGATAAATTTTAATTTAATTTAACTAACCATATGATTTATTTTTGGAAATTTTATTTAATTTTTCAGAGGGTTCTGGAGAAACAATACCATGGGAAATAAGGATGAAAATAGCAATTGGAGCAGCTCGAGGGCTTGTTTTCCTCCACAACACAGAAAAACAAGTCATTTACAGAGATTTTAAGGCCTCCAACATTTTACTTGACTCAGTATGCATTCTTTGTAGAATTTTAAAATTTAAATTAAAATATGTAGCAATTATATATATATATATATCTATATATATATATATGTTCTAATATCTTTTTTTATACACTTCCAAATTTAATTAGATTTAATAAATTGTGTTATGTTAAAATGTGTAGGAGTACAATGCAAAGCTTTCGGACTTCGGGCTTGCAAAGTCGGGCCCGGACAATGGCAACTCACATGTCACAACTAAGGTCGTCGGCACTTATGGTTACGCTGCCCCTGAGTATATGGCTACTGGTAATTAATTAATTATTCCTCAAATCGAATTTCAGTTATCAATTTATTTTGTTTTGAACCGGCATAATCGTTAGGCTAGTCAACCCGTCATATTTTTTATAATAAAACTGCATACCCTCATATGAATAGTCATGCTTTTGTTAAGTTGTTTTTAGGAGTGACATTTTAGCTATATTTTTTTTCCACTTTGATTGTATTGATTTTATATTTCTAAAAACAGGATAATTTAAAATAAACTTCAATCAACAAGTAGATAAATCAAACTATCATCAATCATTGACTTAAATCATTTTTATTTATTTATTTATTATTGTTATTATTATTATTATTATTATTATTATTATTATTTTGTGCAGGTCATTTGTATGTGAAAAGCGACGTCTACGGTTTTGGAGTTGTGCTTTTAGAGATAATAACGGGCCTGCGAGTGCTGGACCTCAGCCGGCCCAGTGGGCAGACCAATTTGGTGGATTGGGCCAAGCCTTTCCTGCCTAACAAAAAGAAGCTGAGGAAACTGATGGACCCCCGGCTTCAGGGTCAGTACCCATCAAAGGCCGCGTTCGGCATAGCGGAGCTCATACTAAAATGCCTCGAGCCCGACCAGAAACTCCGGCCCGATATGGAGGAAATTTTGTGTGAATTGGAGAAGATGAACGAAATTCACATGAAGCCCAAGGAGGTTAGGACCCAAGGGAAACAACACCAACAAAATGGGGACCTCTATCCCCGGTACCACGGTTGGGCCCACCACACGTACGAAGGAAGCAGTGGTGGTCGGGCCCATGGGGCCGGCCCTCGGCATCACAATAATGCGAAGGTGGTCCGGACTTATTGATGGGTTTTTGAATTGGGCTTCTTTGGCCCTCCGGTCGACTTGGAATTCGGTTTTGTAATACCATGACTCCTTGTTTTTTTTTTTCCCTCTTTGTGGTAGGCCCAATATGTAGTTAGTTGATCTTTGTCGTGAAGTATAGCACCTACCACTTTTTAAATTTATTATTAAACTTTTTTTTGTATGCTTTTGTATATTTTTGATAACGAACAACCAAAAACAACAAAAATGAAGGCCATTTTTGTTTTATGCAACTGTTTTGGAGGGGGAAAACAACAAAAGGCAACTATCTAAAAGGGAAATTTTCATGTATACTAAATAATTGCAATTTTACCATTGAAACCAATAAATTTATGCATATACCTAAGAGATAAAAATTAATTATATTGATACCTAAGCATCTTCTCTCTCTCCCCGTAATTCATGCTTTCAGTTACCTTATCAAACCAAATCATCTTCTCTCTCTCCCCGTAATTCATGCTTTCCGTTACCTTATTTAAACATAATACCGGATTAGTACATGTTAACAAAATGGAATGTGTTGGACACACTGACAGTGATATATACTTAAAATATACCGATTATATATCAACTGTTACATAATTGAATCATGTCTCAAGTATGTCCCAAATTATATGATAAGTATATACTTTGTAAAGTATATGTATCTGATTAGTTTATTAATACTATATCACACTATCATATACTTATCATATACTTGATATAAAACCAACACCTACTTAGCATAAACTTGATATAAATCCACATATACCTTAAAATATACATATAATATACTTTAAATATACACTCGAGTTTCAACCGTTTTTCAAAAACAATTTCAGAACTCACATATACCTAAAAATATACCTAAGATATACACTCGGGATTCAATTCACCGTCAGAGTGTCACAATTACACTACAAGCAGAAGAAGACAAAACAAAAACTGAAAAATCTCGGGACACACATACACATAAAATATACTTTAAATATACACTCGAGTTTGAATTCGTTTCTCAAAATCGATTTCAGAACCCTCATATACCTAAAAATATACCTAAGATTTACTGAAAACTGGTGCATCTCGAAAACAATAATAATGAAAAATTAATCTAATTTTCGGATCCAATAGCGAATTAGCATCCCCGAACAAGTACTTGAAGAACACCTGCAGATTCATCCCCCCTATGAAACAAGGTGTGCGTGCTTTAGTCGGTTGATGACGCCCCCCGCCATCGAGTTCGCTTTGCCCTGCACCTCCGCCAGGAACCGCCGCAGTTCGTCAGCTTCCATAACCTATACAACCGTCGCGAAATTCTCAATCCAAACAAACAATTAACAAATCGAACAATGGAAAACGTGATTGGAATCAAACAATGGAAAACACGAAGGAGCGGTGGGTGGGTGGAGGTGGTGCCGCGAAGGAGCGGTGGGGAAGGAGAATAGCGGCGAATTGGAGAAGAAGAAGATGAGAGAGAGAGAGAGGGGAAGAGAAAAGAAGAAGAATGGAGAGAGAGAGCGTGTGATAATTATAGATCCCAACAAATCTGATTTTACCATATTTAAAAATAATTATACGTTGTTTAATAATCTGGTATGTTTGTAAATAAATATAAAAGTTTTAGTTAATTTGCAAAAAAATATATACCAATTGTAATTATGCAATAAAAATATTAATGTGTAGTGGAGGATGCAATTTCCTCACTATAAAACTGTGACAACTAAAAGAACCAAGTGACGGATGGTTTTGGGCTGGACCACGGTCTTGGGCTGTTGCGAGAAACGGCCCGAAATAATGGACCAGTGCAATATATATAAATTGAAATAAAGGAAATTACTGCAGTCCTATTGACGGAATGGTTCCGTCAATGTTGGTTATCGTAAATTATCCACACAAGATAATCTTTATGTGTATCCAATGGTGTAAAATACTGACGGTACCATCCCGTAACGGGACCTTAGAATTTTCCGTGAATAAAATTACCTCACCAACTTTACTGAAGGTATATATAGGTAGTTTTTCAATTTTTTTCCCCCATCAGTTGATTGGAAGTCTCATTCATGCAGTTTTTGTACGCTAAATATTTATGGCGAATTTACATACATTATATCATGTGTACTCATCTTAATTTCGGTTGTGGAGAAGTTTTATCTAGAGCATGTCATTATCAAATATACGGTTTCTCTATTACTCTCATTAATCTTTGTTGTCCTCTCAACCTCGACGCCATTAGAATTAAAAAAATTACAAAAAGAATCATCCCAAAATTATGGCACATAATATCAACGTTTCAGGCAATTGATTTTTCAGACTAAACTGCAATATATTCAGTTTCTTCTCTGTTTATTAAAAAAATCAAACGATCTGAGATTGGAGATCTACATACGATGCGATAGCCGGCGGCGGCGGAGGGTTGCGTGGTACTGCTCGACTCTCGGTTGAGAATTAAAATTTTGGGGCGGCACCGTAGATTCGTGGCTCGATGTACGAAGACCTTGCCTATGAGTGATGAAATGCGATGTGACGGCCAGGGACAGTGGGGGATTGCGTAGTCCTGCTTACTTTGGCACAACCAGTAAAATATACTGAAGATATATTTGAGATAAACCAAACAAAGGTTGTCTTGCAGTGTTCGATATGTACTTAAACTCTTATATTGTGGTCGCGAACCACCATGAGCCAGTCGTAGCAGCCCACGCGACCACCCGGCGATGCCAGTTCCCAGCCGCAACAACGACGCGACCAGTGCATCCCAACGACGAGCAGACCTCGACGTGCCAGGCCCCGGCGATGACGCGCGCTACCAGGCGAGCCAAAGTAACCCGCGCGCATCGCGACCCTTCAGCTCCCAGGCTACCCGACATCTCGGACACAAACAGCGGGTGCCAGTCCGTAGCCCTCAACGCAGCCGACACACGTGACCTGCACCGCCCGCACGCACTCACGCACTCCGACGCGCACGCTAGGGCCCTGCAGCACGTGACGCGCACGCCAGCGACCCCAGCGCCCGACGCGCACGCACCCAGACAGCGCCCGATGCACATCCATCTCTGGTGACCCGATCAAGACCCAACCATATCCCGGCGACCCGTGATCAACCAAGGAGGCCACGTACGGCTTCCGAACGGACTCTGCGGTCTAGAAGATCTCTTATAAAGGAAATCTACAACATCTGAGAGTTAGCAAACATTTCAAATGGTAAAGTCCTAATCCTAACTATAGATTTCGTTGCGTTAGGATTTAATTCGCTGGATTCAGATGTGCATATCAATGATGTTCCTAATATAACCCAACACTATAGGTAAAGGTAGAAGACTTACAATTTAATAATTTGTTGATTCTGAGACATTGTAGATATTTTTTTTTTTTTTTTGTAGAAGATCGTATGATTCACAAAGTCCGTTGGGTAGCCAGATGTGGCCTTCTCAGAGCGTCGCGGGTTGCTACATGTGGACGAGAAGAAGGTGGATCGCAATCGGTGTCGGAAAGCGTGTCTTGGGTCGTCTGGGCATTGATAAGGTATCGAGTCGCACGACATCACATGGCTGCTGGCGTCGCGTGTCTCAGTGTCGTAGGGATGCGGCAGGTTATCGTCGGGCAGCGCTGGGCAGCCGGTGCACTCGGATCATCTCGCGGCAGCGCTGGGCAGCCGACGGTGTTTGGGTGCTCGGGATTTCTTGGGTGCTAGACTGCCTCAAGGTCTTCTATCGAGTTACCTGACACCTCTAGAACTCTCTTACTGGGAAGAGAATCTGGATATCTCTATGTGTTGTATGTCTTGGAAGACTAGAGAAGAGGTGTAGTTATAGGCTTCAATAGAGACCCTAAGGAGACATTAAATTGGGTTTTCCCTATTTGGCTTAATTGTCCTACCAAGCCCAAATAGGAATAATAAAGTCATTCCACTAAAGTAGTATTACTGGATTCCCCCAATTTAATTTCCCAAATTACGATTTGATTTTCACTCCTAAAATACTCGAAATACCTCCACATGTTTAACATATAATGTCCGTCAATTTATTTAATTACTAATAATTAAATTAATCGACTTCTTGAATCGAAGCTAGTAC